GTCAAATTTTAGCTGACGTCCTTTGTGAAAGGTCCCTTACTGGTACAGAAGAACAAACTAGTCTCGTCGGTGGTGGTGTGTGTGTGTATGTATGTGGGTGTTGTGTGGTGGTGGTGGTGGCTGCTCTGAGAGCGCCATGGCATCACTGCTGCTCTGATGTCTTCATGGACTGTAGTTGTTTCTGTGGTGGGTGTTTGTGTGTGTGTTATGATTCTGCCTCCACCGAGTTTATGTTGCGAGGAATCGTAACTTTTCAAAGTATTATTTATTCCTTGTATTGAGTTGTATAAAAGATGACAGCAAATTATCTACCTGGGTACCCGTGTATAATGTATTATAAATCCTTCCCAGACATCTATCTATGTGTCATCTCCGAGTATCATTTGTCAATAATATAGTGACAGATCCTAGCAGACCCAGTTGTATGGTTTTACTCTTCACTTTTTGCTTATCATTTTTTTTTGTTTTTTGGTGTGACTTTTGTTTGTGATTGGTGGGTAGGGTAGATGTTTTCTTTCTCCTAATGGGCTGGTGTGAGAAGTGTGTGGAGTGTCGATCCTACTTTTTACCTGACCCCCTTGTCCTTATTTTGACCTACAGTGTGTGGTGCAACATCAGTTGTGCTGTGTGTTTGGAACCAGCTCTGGCTCTGTCTGCTCCTTTTCCCCCTCCTGCCTGCTGCTTGTTTTTGTTCACAGGTTAATGGGTAGAGGATGCTGTCGGTATGGTTTGCAATTCAGGTTTTTTTTTGTAGAACAGTAGATCTCCTTTTTCTGGCTCATTTCAACATTTGGACCAGGATGACGAATCAGTCTACACTAGAAAGAAATGCTTTTACCAGTGGACCACACTAATTGATGCTTGATAAACAGTAACTACCTTCTAAAGAGATTAGAAACTGTGACTGTGGACTCCACTGTTTTCTGTCATGCTGACTCCTCGCAGGGTGAATTTAGGTTTTAAACTTGAGATTATGCCAAAAGATTTATGTCCCAAAAGTTTAAATAATTTTGATGTCTTCAATAAAATTATGTTGTTTCTTCATTCAAGGGGTTACTTGGATGTCCTGGGTATGTGGGAAAAGAGCTTTAGATATATGTGAGGCTTCGTGATGAAATCAGGCGCTCGTCAAAATAATGAAATTAAAGAAATCGGCATTTTTCAGGCAGTTTGGACATTTTTGTTCGAATTTTTGGTTTTCGGCTCAACGCCTTGTATGTCCATTCAAAAATACTTTAGTGGATTTTATGGAAAATGTTGATTAAAGGCACAAAATATGTAAATTTGCAGTTTCAGGGGACTCTAAATCTATGGAAGTCACCAAACTTTGGCGGTCATTTTCTCTCTAATTTTACTTCTGAAACTAAGTAATCCCACCGGTTTCAATTTGAACTATCTCGACTTCTATTCAAGATAAATGGATATTATTTTCATCAAAAGCAAGGCACATGAAAAACCTTTAAGATAATATAAATAACTCCATATACCTAAAATTTGACGACCGCCTGATTCGACCGCGTTGTAACACATATTGTTCTGTTTATGAGAGAGAAAGAGAGACATGTGAACTTGGTGATACCGTTTGCCACGGCAGGAGGAGAGTAGGACCTCATTGTTCGTCAAGAAGGGGTTTGTGTGAGTGGCCTTGACTGCTTAATTAGTTTGATTTGTTTCTGCCTTGCCTTCGTTGAATGAAGGCTGTAAGACAGATGTCGTGTAAGCCAAAGGAGGGGACACAAGTAGGCCTACCTTGTGATTGCAGTATTAAAGTGGAGAACAAAAAATCTAAATTTGTAATTCTGAGGCAGCGAGTTGTCTAGAGTAGAAAGTGGCCAGTGGTCTGGCAGGCTTAGGGCCTTTAGAAGAGTCAACGTTGGGTGGGTTTCAGCCTGGTAGAGTCACTGTAGAACTAGCAGGAAGGGGTTTGTCCTTGTTGCTTCTGGTCAAGTGGAAGTTGGTGAGGATGACTTTGGTTCTTCAACTGATTGTCTCTTGTGTTTTGTGCTGAGACAAGTTGTTTAGATACACACCGACTTGTCCTGTCTCCTGTTATGTACTCATAGTGCATTGCAAATAGCACAAGCTCGGTCAAGATTCACCACCAGACTTTAAGAGACAAAGAATTTTTCCT